ACACACACACACACACACACACACACACACACACACACACGCATGCGCGCTAATTGTTTCATCCCCCCCCTTTAATATCAGGAATTCTTCTCATTCATTCCTGTTTTTAAAAAAGCTTCACTTATTTTTATTGATGTGAGTTCTGGGAATTAAACTCGGGTCACCACTTACTCAGCTCTCCGGCCTTCTTTTCACTCCTTTTAATAGACTAATGTGTTTCTTCTGACATGTATAGCCTTCAGTTCTGTGTGCACATGTGCATGTGTGTGTATGTGCACATGTAGTTGGTGCGCATATGTGTGTGCGGGCCAGAGGATAACCCGAGGTGTCATTCCTCAAGATCTGTCTACCATGTGTTTTGAGACAGGATCTCTCCGTGGTCTAGAGCTTCAGGGAATCAAACTCGGGTCCTCATGAGAGTGTGGCAAGCACTTCTTCACAGACCAGACTTCTGCCCCAGCCCCTCCCCCCGGGGGGGTTGTTGTTGTTGTGTTAACTATTATAAATAAAGCTATAATAGACAACCCGAGTGTGATGTGCACGTATGCAAGGTTTTCTGTAGGACAGAGTCCTGGAAGTGAGTCAAAGGTGTGTGTACTTAACATTGTGGTAGATATGGATATAATACTTTATAAGACAGAATCATTTTTTAATAATAACCAGATAAACTCAAAAGCCTCGCTGGGGTAGGGTTGGCTTACAGCGGCTGCTCAACAAATATTTTCGGATAAATAAACAGTGTGATTGGTTTTCTCATTTTGAACATTTTTTCACTGGAGTGTGGGGGCCAGGAAGCTGAAGGTTTAGCTTGGGAACACACTGAAAGGGCTCTGACTGTGTCCTTTGTCTGACACCGTGCCTTCTCCAGTGCCTCTGGACAGAGAGGAAACTACTCGAAGCACGAAAGCTTGAGGGACTCTGGGTTCTTTTTTAGGAATTCTATGGCATGGATGCTGTAAAAATCTTTTTCCTGTCAATGCTGACAACGGAAACAAGATGCCTTTGCAAAGATTAATTTATTTTTGTTTCATGTTTTTGAGTGCTTTGCCCACACATACCTATGTGCACTGCATGTGTGCCTAGCGCCTGCAGAGGCCAGAAGAGGGCATTGCATCCCTTGGAGTTACAGATGATTGTGAGCTACCGTGTAGATGCTGGAAATTGAACCCTGGTCCTCTGGAAGAGCAGCCAGTGCTCTTAACTGCCAAGCTGCCTCTCCAGCCCTGGATTTACAGATATATTCCACACATGATGTCTGGATTACGAAGAAGAGATTGGCCTTGAAAACAATCTCAAGTTAGGATCTTTTCCCTTATAACCTAACAGTTCCTGATGAAGTTATCCCTGTTTGGCAAGGAGAAAAGCTGGGGTCTGTGGCTCAGACAGCTCAGCCTTTCCCAGCCTCCTTTCCTCATCTGCAACAGGGGATAGCACTGTGCATCTCACGAGACTGTGGATAGAAAAGGCAGCTCAGGCCTGGCGGGGGTGGCACACGCCTGTAATCCCAGCACTCGGGAGGCAGAGGCAGGCGGATCTCTGTGAGTTCGAGGCCAGCCTGGTCTGCAGAGTGAGTTCCAGGACAGCCAGGGCTACACCGAGAAACCCTGTCTGGAAAAATGGAAGCAAACAGAGAAGATGGCTCAGCTCAGTTCTGCTGAAGCGCCTGCTCCGAGGCTCTCCCAATAGCAGCCATGCTGCTGTCTCTGCTCAGAATCTAGGGGTAGAGGATCGTGCCGGCTCCGATGGATTCTCACAGAAAGATGCCCTATCATCTGGGCAGTCCATCCTGGCAAAGGCTTTATGGCAAGGTGAGCATAAACACTCTGGGTATTTATGGGGTATGGTATGGTATGGTCCAGGAAATATCTAGCGTGTGGAGTGACTAAATCCAGTACTTTGGAAACTTTCCGACTCCTCTCTTATGTTCCTTATAAAATACATAAAAACTTATTGTGTGTGTGTGTGGGGGGAGGTGGCCCAGTGGTTAAGAGTGCTTCTTGCCCTTTCAAGGGACCTGGGTTCAGTTCCCAGCACCCACATTGGGCAACTCACAACCACCTGTAGCTCCAAGTCCAGGAGACTGGACGTCCTCTTCTGGCCTCTGTGGACACCTGCATGCATGTAATACACATGCACACACATGGACACAGACACAAAAACAATAAAAATTTAAAAAGAGCCAGGCAGTGGTGACGTGCACCTTTAATCCCATCACTCAGGAGGCAGAGGCAGGTGAATCTCTGTGAGTTCAAGGCCGGCCTGGTCTACAAAGTGAGTTCCAGGACAGGTTTCAAAATCTACACAGAGAAACCCTGTCTCAAAAAACAAAACAAAACAAAAAACAAAAACAAAAAACAAAACAAAACAAAAAAAAGAAAAGGAAAATAAAAGAAAGAAAGAAAGAAAGAAAGAAAGAAAGAAAGAAAGAAAGAAAGAAAGAAAGAAAGAAAGAAAGAAAGAAAGGAAAAAAGAAAAAAAAGAACAAATAAAATGTAGTGACCTATAGTCACCCCACTGTGTTGCAGAGCACACTCTGGCCTGGGGTGTGTGTATTGTCCAGCCTTTCTCTCCTTCCTTTATAGACTCTCATCTGTCTCCCGCTGATGAACATGGCCCCTTTGAGGTAGAAAAAAATGTGCTTACACGAGGCTTCCAAAGTATGGCGTCAATGGGATAAGAAGAATGAGAATTTGGAGAGCTCTGCTTTCCTGGGGTCTGAGCTATGTACACAGGTTCCTGGGCCTCAAACATCCCTTAGCAGAAAATGGTGGAAACAGCAGGATCAGAAGTTTGAGGCCAGCCTGGGTAACAAAACAAACCCCGAACATACAAAATTCTCCCACTGTCTTGGAGGTTTGGGAAAGCCGGAGCTGCCCTGGGGCTTTTCTTTTTTTTTGGGGGGGGGTCTGCTTCCTTCTTGGTTTTGAAATCCTGATATGAGGTGCGGCATGACTCTGTCACCACACACGAAGGAATGAAGCCTTCCTACATTGCAAAGGATGTCGGACTCTTACGGAGCTGGGCTTGCGTGCTCCTCCGAGAGTCTGGTTTCAGTTTGTCTGATGCGGACAGCCGGAAATCACCATGTGCTTTGGTCCTTCCTCCCACCTCTCAGTGCGAGATGGAACTCTTTTTAAAAAGTTGTTCTTTATAAAGAAGAGATGCTTTATGGGCAGGGCTTGACAGCATCATAGAATAAAATTTTCATCAACTAATTTTCTCTAGCTTTTTAGTTTCTCTTTATAGTGAGGGCAAACCCAGGCTGAGCCTTTGGGATTTGTGAAGTGTGCTGTTTTCTGACAGCCGCAGGGGACCATGACATCCCTAGCCTTCTGAACCTATGATGACAATAGACGTAAGCCCTTAGGGCTCTCGTCTGAGATGTGAGACAAGAAAGACCTTAGGATGGCAGAGATAATTTTCCTATGGCCAGTTCTGGGTTGTTCCATTGACACAGTTTATTCTGAGCTAGTGTAGCTGAATCTAAAAGTCCTGGAACACAGAAGCCCTGGCTGGGGCAGACATAGCTTGTTTGTTCCTAGGCTATGTTAATCTTGCGCCAACATGCAGAGGGTGCAGAAAGATGGAGGTCACTGAAAGCCAGACCACGGCATACGTTTATGCATCCCTACCTTTCAACATCTTCACAGCCACAGTCCGGCAGGTGGGCGATTTCTTAATGCCGAATGCAGATGCCTGAACCACTTTCCCGAAGGCTCCTCTCCCGAGCGATTTGCCTACAATAGAAGACGTTTATTTGTGGAGCCCATGGTGAGTCTGAGTCTTTTCCAGGAAGGAAATGCTGTGTTGGATGTGTTATGCAAGGCCTGAATCTTTGAAGGGATTCTGCAATGACTGACCCCAAAGGAGGCCAAGTGAGTGCATTTCACCAGAAATCCCTTCCTCTGCCTCTGAGGCCCCCACCCCACCCCTGCCCCATCTTTCAATACTAGTCTAAGCTTCTAGAACATTCAAAGAAGGAAAGTGGCCATTTCCCCTTGCCATAGAGTCTTGCAGAAGGGAGAAAATGCCAAACCCAGCAAGTTTCCTTTTACTGTTTCATGATCAAGATGCTCCACGCCCTCCTTCTCGCCACCAAGGTCATCCCCTCTGCTTTCTACAAAAAGGACGAATGGTGGCAGCTGCTCCGGGTCAGACAATGCCTCACATCTTAAGAATAAACACTGGGTCGTTTCTCAGACTTCCGTGCGGGTCAGAGCGTTCCCTGGTAGCGATTACATGATTCTAAGACCATTACAAGCCCCGTGGTTTTCCCAACATGAGCCATCGAACACAGGTAGTAATTTGCTTCAACCCCAGAGAGATGATTGCCCAAAGCGCTAAGAAAGCAGGGCATCTTTTGTGGCGCCCATTATGTTTTGCTAGAGTGACTGTTCATACACATCTTTCTCCGCTCTTGAATGAGCCACCTTGACTTGGAGAGGGAAGGACGCTGTCTGAATTATCAAGTACCTGGTGCAGTCCCTGGTATAAAGGAGGTCCTGTCCAGTTACAGCAGAATGGAGAGCCCCAAAAGGGCTTTGGTGGACAGGAACTAGAGCCCTGTGGAGCGGGGAGTGGGGAGGGTGAGGCCCTTTAGGCAGAAAAGCCCCGGAATAATTCAGCCACCTTTTCTACTTAGGGTCCTCGTCTGCACAATAAGGAAGCTAAATAGAGCCACAAGAAACCGCCTGTCCCAGTTTTGTATGCTGAAAGAAGAGTGAACCAAGGAAGTCAACACCCCCTTCCTCTCTTCTGGTGATGTGTCCTCGGGGCAGGGCGGAAGGGATAGGAATAACAGAACACCATTGGTCAAAAGAAAATCCCACCTGTTTAAAGGTTAATTTAACTCTCCTTTCCATCCCAGTCTCCTTCCTCAGACTGCCCTGGTAATGAGCCTTCAGTTAATTAGCTTTCCTTCCCCCAAAGCATGGAGATATGAATATATATATTCTTGTAAGCTTTATGACAAGGCATTGAAGTCTGAATCTTGCAACAGCTCCAAGGCTGTTGCCCTGCATGAGGCATCCAACTAGGACCTGGGCAGTTTCAGCGACAAGCGTCATCACAAGAGCTGTCTCCTGGGACACACTGATCAGTGGGGGTGAGCCAGGAGATGACATGGTTTTCGAAAACCAAACATGTACTGTTGGCAGCTGCTAAACCTGACTCCTCCTGGAACACACAACAGGGGCAGAGAGACACAGTCACCCACCCCGTCTTCAGGGAAAATGATCGGAACCAGAACGGACTCTTCAGTTAAAACAAGAGTAACCAATGGTTCCCCAAAGTGCCGAGGGTCAAGGTGAGGTGGGGAAGAGTTCCTCAGGGGCCTCATGGCTTAAAAATAATAAATAAATAAATAAATAAATAAATAAATAAATAAATAAATAAAGAAAGAAAGAAAGAAAGAAAGAAAAAAGAAAGAAAGGGAGGGAGGGAGGGAGGGAGGGAGGGAGAAAGGCCATGTGGTGGTGAAGCATGCCTTTAATCTCAACAATTGGGAGGTAGAGGCAGCTACATCTTTGTGAGTTCAAGGGCAGCCTGGTCTACACAGCAAGTTCCAGGACAGCCAGGGCTACACAGAAAAACCCTGTCTCAAAAAAACACAAAAAAACAAAAAAACAAACAAACAAAAAGAAATAAAAAGGGATTTTTTTGGTTGAAAGTTATTCTTAGCTTTCTTCAGAGTAACAGAATAACGCTGCTTCTCGGCTGTATTCTACCATCTGATGTCCCTAGCCCAGGAAACAGCCTGATGATACTCTCTCCACACATTCCAAAGACTCCCGCCTTTCTCCAGTGCCCACATTCCCTTCTGGGCCGTCACAAGGCATTTTGTGTTACAAGTGTTTGGGGGCTCTGCTTCCATCAGTGGGGCACAAGCTGGTGATCACTGGGCAGGCCCCAGACCCATAAAATGACTTGAAGTGGTTGCAGGCTCTTAGATCATCCTGTGCACTGGAGTCTGGCTTCAGGTCCCTGGTCCCGGTTGCAGCCAGACTAATTCACACTGAACTCGACCTCGCCTGATAGTTTCTTTCCCTGGAATTCTTAGCGTTGTCTGGAATGCCACACACTCACTAGCTCAGAAATACCCTGGGTCCCTGTCACACGATGCAGTAGTATGGAAGGACCCTGAAGAGTCCTAGCCGCTCTAGGAAGGACGCAGGGGGGCATGGACTTGGCCCCCATTATGTTTTCAATGTGAAATGTCCTCCATAGACTTAAGTGTTGAGTGAGGGCGTAATCCAGAGCTGTGGTGTGGTTTGGGGTGGGGGTTTAAGAGGTGGGCTAGGCTGGAGGGTGCAGGTCACCAGCAGAGGTTTCTTAGGGGTGTGTTATCCACGGCCCTTGTCTGCCTGTGTCTCTGCTTCCTGTCTTCTGTGAAGCGAGGAGCAGCCATGCCCATAGGCTTTTGCCACCATGACGGTGGTCTGAGGACAAGGCCAGGCCACCATGGGCGGGACCTCCTGAAAGCCTTTCTCAGTTTCTGTCAGCTACTCTGGTCCCTGTGACAAAATCTAACTAATCCATGGCACCCCTCTTTGGCAATCAAGAGAGCTGGTCTTATTGGCTGTTGTAATGGCCCAGCTCCAGACTCTCTGTGTGCTCTTCCATGCTAGACAACTTCCCCTGTATATCGCTTGCTTGCAGAAATAGACTACGATGTCAGACAGGACCCTGGACATTTGCAGGAGGTGTATTCTCTTCCAGGATTAGTCAGGAATCATGAGCGAGCCAAGGAGTTTTCTTTTCTTCCCAGTTTCAGCAATTCTACTGACTAACCAAGCTCTAACTGAACAGCCCAGCAGTGAAACTTCTGACTTGCCTCCTACAAGGCTGGGCATTGTAGCCAACAGAGAGAGTAGACGCCATTAAAATCACTCCTTGGTCTGTCTCTGTATTTCTTACATTTTTTTTTTTTACCCCAATGTAACACTGCTTATCAAATCATTTTTTTTTCTTCTCTACCAATTGGTTACTTTCAGTTGCCAGCCATGATTTCAAATCCCTTTGTCATTTCTTTGGCTAGCAAGAACCAAGCGAGAAGTCTGGGGCCTCCTGGCTCCCACGTTAATCAGCGGAACCCTCTTCCCCGTCCTGGGGCCACACTGTGCGCTGAAAAGCTTGACCCCCGTTCTCACCAGAGACACTTAGATGGACAGCAGCCAAATCACAGCTGAGGCCCCCACATAGCGAGGCGCTCACCAGGACAAACCTTCAACAGGGAAAATCGTAGGAAATGCGATTGTGCGCAGCCCTTGAGCCCAAGGGAATTCTGGGGTCCAGGGAACAGCCTAGGGGATGTGCTGGGGGCTGAAGTGAGTGGGGATGAAGTGGGTGGGGATGGGGGGGGGTCAGGAGTTGGGAGGGAGCTCTCCTGTATCCTGTCCTAGAAGAAGCGTGTTTAATCCCAGCTAATGAGTTTGGAAAGCAGCTCCTGGTCATGGGGAGAATGACGCTGTGTTCTCTGCCAAGGTCACAGAGGGGCTCGGCGAGCCTGCTTTAAAACCCAGCCTCGCAGAAAGAATTCATCCAGTGTGCTACCTACCTTGAACTGCTCCATAGACACCCCCACCCCCAACTCCACCCCCAACCAGTCGTTTCTGGCTCCCTCCGGCTTTTAGGTAACTCCCCAACTTTTCCCCCCAAGCCAAACAGGACCTACACTGATACTTCCCTTTCCCTGTAAGCAGAATCATTTCAAGGCCCAACAGAAAAGCAAGAACAACCATTTCACACTCCCTGTCACCCCACCCCCATGTAGAGCTCGCCCGGGAAGACAGGGGTCACAGTGCCAGCCCAGCCAGCTCCCCTGCTCTGAGAGTGACAAGCTCAGAGAACACTGGGCTCACAATCTGTTTTCCTAGTTCCAGCCACTAATGACTCTGGCATACACAGGAGCGAGTGGAAAACTTTCAGAAGCCACGCTCCAAACGTTTTGGGCAGGGCTAAGTCAGGCTCTGATTGTTTTGTAGCGCCAGAACTGGAGATGAAGACGCATTGTGACGTCTGAGCCGGAGGAACCGGGGGTAAGTAAGCACAGGGGGCCTGCTGTTTACAACATCTGCCCTACCTGGAAAACACATCCCTGCTTTTCAAAAGTGAAACCTCAGTGATCCCTGAGGGTCGGACCACAACACACCAGGAAAGCCACAGGACATCTTACAACATGTGAATCTGCACAGAGAGCCTGAGTTAACTGAGCATCACTCTCTGAACTGTGTTGTAGGCGACATGTTTAGTCCCCAGTAGTTTCAGTTAAGAGTGCCTGGGTTTGCCAGGCGGCGGTGGCGCACGCCTTTAATCCCAGCACTTGGGAGGCAGAGCCAGGCGGATCTCTGTGAGTTCGAGGCCAGCCTGGTCTACAGAGCAAGATCTAGGACAGGCACCAAAACTACACAGAGAAACCCTGTCTCGAAAAAACAAACAAACAAAAAAAACCCCAAAAAACAAAACAAATAATAAGCAAACAAACA